GTGACCTCGGGGGGCATGCTCCAAAAAGGGTTTAGGCGCACGAAGAATGCCCAAAAACATGTTTGGGGCGGATTTAGGGTTTTGGGGGGTTTGGGCTAAGGGTTTCGGGGTTTTGTTCTAGGGGTTGGGGTTTAGGGTTTAGTGTTTGGGGTTTAGGGTCTAGGGTTTACCGTTTAGGGTTTAGGGTTTAGGGTTTAGGGTTTAGGGTTTAGGGTTTAGGGTTTAGGGTTTAGGGTCTATAAGGCTTAGAAAAAAGGAATGGTGGAGGGGGGCTGAGGGTTCAAGGCAGGGTTCTTAGGGCTCCAAATTGCTCATGAGGCTTGATAGGGCTTAGGGATTGCAGGGTTTCCACATATTTGGCTGACAGTTGGGGCACACGCACACACACACACACACACACACACAACGCGTCCCGGATTCAACAATGAATTGCGATGTCGAATGGTTCTCGTTGCCTTGCGCCAGGCCAAACCACACCTTTTCGTCTTCGGGGGTTTCGGGTGTTGAGGTTAGGGCCAAAGCAGGAAAGCTGCTGCAGCAACGTGCAGCAACTAAACTGGTGGCCATCAAGCTCTCCTCTGCCCATACTGAGCCTAAAGTAAGGCATGCTCGAGGTAGAAACTCCAACTGCCTGCCTGACGTACTGCAGTGACGTATTGCCAACTTCACCAAGTAGAGTGTGATTCACACCGGCGCGGGAGGCCCACCTGATGTAGAGACTGGTAGGGTTTGTCGGGCTTCGTCTGTAATTCAATGAGCTGGTCTGCCGAGATGCAGCAGCCTTGTTTTGCTAGTCCTTGTGCAACTCAACCCAAGGGCTGGGGGTTCGGGGTTTAGGGTTTACAGCTCGCTAAGCCTAAACCCTCAACCCCTCGAGAGTACCCCAACCTGAGGCGAGCACCCAATATGGCAGCACTGAAGCGGAATCCTTTCAGGGCTCTTTGCAGCTTCCCGTGCGCCCCGGTGACTACTGCACTTGGGGTTTACCCCTTCTCGCTCTCTCTCTCTCTCACTCTCTCTCTCTCTCTCTCTCTCTCTCTCTCTCTCTGTCTCTCGCTCTCTCGCTCGCTCGCTCGCTCGCTCTCTCTCTCTCTGCCGTTGCATCCGCAGGGTCTAGCAGCGCCAGGCGGATTTACGGCTTAGGGCTTAAGGCTTAGGTTTTGAGGGGCTTTGGCTACAAGAAGAGAACCCCCCAAACGAAATGTCGCGACGCCTGACCTTGGTGGCGCAGCTTGCAGCCTCTATCTCAGACCCTTCTTTCCTTTTCCCGGACTCCGGATTCCTAAACCACCCCAAACCCGAAACCCTAAACCCTAAATCCGTTTTTTTTCTAAACCCTTTTTTGCTTCCCTAAACCCTAAACCCTAAACCCTCAACCCTCAACCCTAAACCCTAAACCCTAACCTGAGCAGAAGCCGGCTCAGCGATTCCCAGAGCCCCGCTCTCTATCTGCAGTTCCCACAGAACATGTTTTGCCACCCCACCTTGAGGGTTTGAGGCTTATGGCTTCGGGCTTAGGGCTTAGGGCGTAGGGCTTAGGGCTTAGGGTTTAGGGTTTAGGGTTTAGGGTTTAGGGCTGAGGGCTTAGGGCTTAGGGCTTAGGGCTTAGGGCTTAGGGCTTAGGGCTTAGGGTTTAGGGTTTAGGGTTTAGGGTTTAGGGTTAGGGTTTAGGGTGTGCCTTCCTTTGCTTTTGGGGAGAAGGGAGGGGAGGAGACCCTGCATTTAGGGCTTGGGATGGCGGCGAAACCAAAAACCCTAGAATCGGCGGTCCTGCGCAAGCGGGCTGTGGGAGTAGATCAACTTCTGCTCCTTCAAAGCACAAGGATTCAGGCCTTTGGGTTTGGGGATTTAGGGTTTAGGGTTTCGGGAGGGGTGGGTGGCTTTAGTTGAAGGCTCAGGGTGCTGGCTCTGGGGTTTGGGGTGTAGGGGTTTCGGGATGACGGAGTTTTTGGGTGGAGGGCTTCGGTTAAAACGGTTTCCCACTTGGTATACTACTCGTCGCAAAGATGAGCGGCGGGAGTGCTAGGGGGGTTCTGGGTGGTTCTCAGTGGCAGGAGGCACTGGAAAGTAGGGACTTGAACCACAACCCTAAACCCTAAACCCAAGAAAGCTTGCTTGGGGGGTCGAAGTTCCGTTCAAATTAGGCCGGGTCCCGGGATTTGTGTGCTTTGGCCACCCGCCAGGCAAGCCAGCGACACACTACCCGAGCATTGAGGTTTGTGTGCTCTTTTCGCGCGTGGGTCCTTCTGCCGCCTGGGGATTCCTGTTTCGGGGAACACCCCCCGAACGAAACAACAGCGACAGTCTTCAAAGCCTCGCCAGCACCCTCCCGGTCCCAGACGCCACGGGAGAGGCCACTGAAGGTTTCCAACGTCGCCTGCAGTCCCGTCCCACGAACTGTGAACTCACTAAATGTGAGGTTTCAAAGTGTGCAGGAAGTGAAGTCGTGAGGGCATGTCCAGAAGAGTCCGACAGAACCGCTTGACGAGGAATCTCTCTTTCTCAAGCTGCAAGGTTACGACAAAACCTACACACAAAACCAGAAGGGCCCCCAAAACCTCTGGAGGACCCCATGACAGAAGGGCTTCAAAAAGTAACTGCTGCTAAGCCGTTCTGAGTGAGGAGTTTCTTTGCAGGGCAGGTGCACAAGATCTGCGACTGGAAGTTGACGCCATGTCAGCTACTTCTTCTACACAAACACCCACGCACGCAAGCACGCACGCATCAGATCCACATGCCTTTTCAGCTCCTTCTGGGAAATGCCAGCATTCCCCGCCATGTTCTAGTTGCAAAGCTCCGAAACCCTAAACCCCAACCCTAAACCATAAACCCTAAACTCCGCATTGCAAGACTCGCTTCTGCCTTATCGGCAGATGATCTTGTATATGGTCTTGCAACGGGGCCCGATCTGCGTGTATCCAAGTTCGTGCACCAAAGGCCCCGACAAAGCTCGGGGATGCTATATTCAGCTATGCAATTTTACTGTTTTTTTAATTATTGGTATTGGTATTATTGTTGTTAGTATTATTTCAAATATTCTGAGTAATATTATCATCATTATTATTGAAGCTCTAGGATTCTAGGACCCGGATTGAACGTTGCACCATCTCGCACATCTGCATCCCCGGCTGGAGACAAGCTACGGGGCGGGCCCCGCAGAAAATCAGCAAATCAGCTCGAGCTACGCTTTCTCAATCGGATGTGCACCGGGACACGCAGGGGGCAGTTGAACAGATGCATGCTGTCTTTAGGTGCGTGCTGCTTCTTTCCAATAGATCTGCCTCTTGGTTGCATAAGTCTTGCAGCTGCCCGAAGAAGCAGGTATAAAGAATTGGCAACTGTCGCCACGCGAGTGAAACATCTCATGGTTCGGGCGGCACGTTCATGGCAAGGCTTCGGGTCCTCTGCTGAAGCTGCTGAGGCACAGATCTTTCAGGTCTCTCTCTCTCTCTCTCTCTCGCAGAAACTGAGGACTCCTCGCCAACGAAGCGCACCGCGGACGATAAAAAAAATTGAGAAGAATTCCAGCAGCTGTGGGTATATTGCCTCAGCCGATGGCCTTATTTTCTACGTTAGGCAGGTGACAGATACATGATTTGCTTAAGTGAGTGCTGCGTCTTTCTACAGACCTGCCTTTTCGTCGCATGACTCTTTCCGCTGCCCCAAGGGGCAGGTAGAGCCTTAAAAACTTTCGCGGCGAGTGCTACATCTCATGATTCCGGCGGCACGTTCATGACCCGAAGCCTTACATACAAGGCTTCGGGTCCTCTGCTGCGACCGCTGCCGGGGCATCAGTCAAAGTTCTCTCTAGCAGAAACTGAATACATCCTCCCGCCCTAAACCCAAGACCCTAAACCCTTTCTTTTTGTTGAACCCAGACTCTGTATTTCAGCTGGCGATGACAAAAACCCTAAACCTTAATCCCCCCCCGAGTCGTGGGTCATCCAGTACGAGACAACCGTGGACAAAACTGCAAGAAGATGACTCCAAAGAGCTGGGAGACCGACTTTTTCACTTTGCACGTTAGCGCATTCGGGAATGCAACCTCCCCCCTTTTTGAAACCGGACTTGATGACTGCAACCTAGCCCTAAACCCTAAACCCTAAACCCGAAACCCTTTCTTGCTACCCTAAACCCTAAACCCTAAACCCTACACCCGAAACCCTAAACCCTACACCCGAAACCCTAAACCCTATGCATCCGAAGGCCCTCTTCCCAGCTGCTCTGTGGCTTACACTGCACAGAGTCGACCTTGGCTCAGAGTTTCCTTCCTCAGCCGGCAAGCACTGAGCTCAAGCATCTTTTGGAGAAACACCTGGGTGGTTTAGGGTTTAGGGTTTAGGGTTTAGGGTTTAGGGTTTAGGGTTTAGGGCTTAGGGCTTAGGGCTTAGGGCTTAGGGCTTAGGGTTAGGGTTTAGGGTTTAGGGCTTAGGGCTTAGGGCCATAGGGTTTTAGGGTTTATGATCCTTTTAGGGTAGCCTAAATATGAAGTGCCGTATTATAAGAAGGGTCCAAAAAGGGACCAAAATGTTGACAACCACCCACCTCTTTGGAAAACGCATGCTCCTGGCCCTCAGCCGTGTCTCGTGCAATGATGCTGCACATAAAGTCGCAGACTGCCGGGCAGATGTCATGCTGCTGGACCTAGTTCATGGTTGGGATCATATGAAACAACTTAAATGTATATTCCTTATTGGGTTTGAGTACCCTTAAACATGCAAAATGATACCCAACTATGACCCAGGGACAAGGGCCGAGACGGAGACCTTCCCCGTCCCGGCCTCACTTGGGCTGAAGGAATCGAAGGCGCTGTTCCACAAGGCCCACTGGCGCTCCGGCACCGCGGGCTTGATAAACCTCTTCCTTTTACTCCCCATGTGACTGCTCTTCTCCTTGGTAGCCCCGTAACCATCTTGTAATTTAAGGGCACCCTTGTTAGGGCTCGCTACTTTATAAGGGAACCTTGAACCAAAACAAAAGGGAAAAAAGCACGACTGGGGCTACCAAGTCTCGAAAAGAGCCTCCTTTTGGTCGAGGCTCTCCTCGACTCGCACCACGTGCATGCGCAGCAGCTGGCCGACCACCTGATCGATGGCCGGATTGCCTTCCTTGGGGCGGAAGTCGTGTGGGCACATCGCGGCGATGTAGTCGTCCTTGCTCACGCCGGAGCCCCTTTCGAAAAACCTCTTCCGCAACGCGTCGGGCATCTCTCGTGCCTCCCGGCCGCCACCACTTTCAAGATTGGCATACTCTTCCGACAGCTCCTGCCGAACCTGTGCTGGTAAGACTGGCCGGGCGATGAAACGCTCGAACCGTTGCTGCATCTGACGGGAGCTTGCAGATTGCACCTTCATCTCCTCGATGAAGTCCAACCTAGTTCAAGGTTGGGATAATATTAAGAATCTCAATCTATACTCCTTCTTGGGTTTAAGTACCCTTAAAAATGTAAAATGTTACCCAACTATGAGAAAGCAACTCCTTCATCCAGGTGTGGAACATCCGAAGGTGCCGAGGCTTTGCATTGGGGCAGATCTTCTTGAGGAACAGGGCCATGGTGGGTTTGTGGCCAAACTGTCGCGACTGCTCCATCTCTTCTAGGCCTCGTGCAAGGTGGTTGCACCACAGGTCCGGAGCGATGGCTGTGCCCAGCGCGCGCTCGATGTCCGCGTGCGTGTGTGAGAAGTCCAGCTGCTTCTGGCACTCGTTGAAGACGTCGCGCACGACGCCGATCTGGTCACGGCGGAGGAAGCTCGAGTCCAAGGAGGCCGCGGTGTCCAAGGGGGGCTCCACGGGGCTGGTGTGGCACAGCTTGAACTTCCTCCCCTCATCCTCGAAGAACTCCGGATCCTCCTCAAAGCCGCGGACCGAAAATCGCTCCAAGAACATCGCAAAGGGAGCGAAGAGGGGGTCACCCCCGTGACCCAGCAACCACTCTTCAACCATCCAGAAGGGTACGGAGCCAGTTGATGTGATCTTCTTGGCCTCCCAGAAAGATAGCTTGCAGCAGGTGCTCATCAGGAGTCGCTCGAAGAGGTGCTTCCCGAACTGTTGCCGCAGGGTTGGCTTCGGAACGACATGCGGGTAGTCCAGCAAGCCGAAAGCGCAGGCGATGCCGTAGAAAAACGAGGAGATCATCTCCACAAACTCAGGGCATTCAATGGTCTGGCTGTCGTCTTCATCAAACATCCCCAGCAGGAATCGAATCTTCTGCTTCTTGGAGATCGTGGTCGAGAGGAAGATGCCACAAGTCAGGAATGCCGGAACCAAGATCTTCACTTTCTTGTGATCCATGGCAGACCTGGTGGCCTGCAGCTGGGCATAGGCCGGGGGATCGAAAAGCTTGACCCAGTCCAGTGTTTTCCTTACTTCTGCAATAACCAAGGGCCAAAAAAGCTTAACTTAAATTAGTCCTACAAAACGAGGAGACACAAAAAGTGCACAAAGTTTAACTCTTGGCTAAGTTAAGCTTCTGCATGGGGATGGCGAGCAACTCTTGCAGCTGGTAGGCGTCCAGGAACTGGGGTGCATTCCTTGGGGACGAAATGAACCCTAAAAGGGTTTATGGTTCATATACCTCAATAGGCATTATAGCAGTCAGGGTACATGACCCCCAATTTTAGGGCTCATTTCGTCCCCAAGGTTCCCGGGCTTCCATGATCCCAAGGCTTGCCAGCGGTTGAAGATGCCAATCCAGTAGCCGATGGAACCTTGGATGGCCCCTCAGCGCCCTCTGAAAAATTTGATTCCTGAATAAGATCCTCTTAAGCCCCTAAACCCTAAACCCTAAACCCTAAACCCAAAACCCTAAACCCCAAACCCTAAACCCTAAATTTTAAACCCTGAAGGGTCTACTTAGGAACGTGTGGAGAGGCCCCTGCACTCGGCAGTGGGCGCTCCCACCAGCACGCGATTCCAGAAGTCTTCCAGCCAATCCAACTGCGGCTCCTCTTCGCGGATGCTTGCGGAGACTTCATCCAAGGACTCCTCGGGTTTAGGGTTTAGGGTTGAGGGTTTAGGGTTTAGGGTTTCGGGTTTAGGGTTTAGGGTTTAGGGTTTAGGGTTTAGGGTTTAGGGTTTAGGGTTTAGGGTTTAGGGCTCTTCATCCAAGGACTCCTCGGCGAAAGAAAGCTGGCGCTCGAGCTGGGCTGCCGGGATCATCGAGAGGCGGCGAGCACGGGGAGCCGGCTCATCTCCTTACTTCGCCAATAACCAAGGGGAAAAGGGATTTAGGGTTTAGGGTTTAGGGTTTAGGGTTTAGGGTTTAGGGTTTAGGGTTTCGGGTTTAGGGTTTAGGGTTTAGGGTTTAGGGTTTAGGAACCAAGGCGAAAAGAAGGTTAAACTTTATGATTCCTACTAAGTAAGGAAACCCAAAAAGTTTAAAGTTCAACTATTGGCTGAGTAAGTCTCCACCCGGCACGCCCAGAACGGTCGCAGCCTTCTTCTTGCTGGGTGTCTGAGCTGCACCTATACTCCCCTTTAGAACCTTAATAGAAATGGTATCTTTAATATCCTCTTGCGTTTTATATAAACAAAAATTAAATAATAATTCCAAAGGGGGGATATAGGCACTTCGTGAAGACGACCGGCCGCTTCCAGCTGGCAACTCTGCTTGGACTGGTCGCTGCACCTGGTCATCTCCAACAGACAAGTCACAACTGGTCGTCGCCTTCTTCTTGCTCGGCGACTGTGCTACACTTCGTGAAGGCGGCCGGCCGCTTGCAGCTGGTTGCTCAACTTCGGAGTTCCTCTTGCCATCGTCCATGCTCATTGTCGTGGCTCTGCTTTTCGGGGATCCGCCCTGGGCCGAGCGTGGTGACTCTCGGCTAGGCATGCGGACCCCTGAATCAATCTCGTTCATGGTCATCGCCTTCTTCTGGGGCGCTGCGCTGCTTGCCGGGTTTGACCTGCGTGATGACATTCTTCCCATGTTGTTGCCAAGGCTCGGGGACGCGGCGCCTTGTCGGGACGCTTGCCGCGACACAGGGGCACTCTCCTCGCGCGCCATAGACATAGAAGACATCAGCGGGTAGTCAGGAAGATCATCTAACTCAACCTCCATGCCAAACGCCGTCACCTGGGCCATTGTGCCGTTGGCTCCTGCCCGCTCTTCGGCGATGGAGTCGTCAAAGGCCATGCTCGCCGCGGTGGCCTTCGACGTGCTCCTGCTAGGGAGCGCATGCCGCGGAGAGGCTCCCGACGTGGGGCGTGGTCTCTCGTCGATGGAACCACACACATCTGGCTGGGAAGTCTTGGAGGTCGTCCGTTCGCCAAGTTCGCCAGCATCATGCATGGAGCTAGACGTCGGCAACCTGGCATTGTCGCTGCTTACTGCAGCAACATCCGTCTTCGGAGACTGCACTGATCGGATAAGACTTGAGGCGTTCATGGGGCCAATGGCTTCCTTACTTCTCCAAGAACCAAGTGAAAAGACTTCATTGCTCTCACCAAAAAAAGACAACCCAAACAAGTTTAAAGTTCAGCTGTTGGCTAAGTAAGCTTCGCCAGCGCCCATCCTAGAGCCCGAACCTCCGGTGGAGTTCATCGGGCTGGAAAAACCGGGTCCGCTCCGTGACTGCCGATCCTCTCGTGGAAGCGGGATGTCGACATCGACTCTCTGTTCTCTGCTCTTTGTGTGAGACCTCCCTTGAAAGAAAGGCCGCGCCCTTGCCGTCATGGCTGTCCCATGGGGAAGCAGACAGTCTGACAGCAACCTCTTGGCAAAAATGCCTCGAGCCCAAGAGTGCCGCAGCGTTTTTTGTCCAACCCGATGCTGCAAAGCCCCTTCCGCAAGGTCAGCTGAGGCCCAACCCACCGGTTGCCATTCCACTTGTCCAGACTCACGAGGCCAGTAAACCTGGCGGCTTTGGCGGGTTTCTCGACGTTTTGGCTGGAGATTAAGGCTTCTCTGAACCAGTTCTTTCTGAACCTGGGAGCAAATACAGGCTCCTTGCACGTGAGGCAAGAGGGCTCCGCAAGACCTGTACAACTGAAACTGTCCATGAAAGCCTAAACCCTAAACCCGAAAGGCCTAAACCCGACAAGCTTCCGATTGCTGTAGGCAAACCAGGCACAGCCTCCCAGAAGACCCCCATGCCTCTTGAAGGCGATACCCATCTCAGGTTAAGATCCCAGTATTCCAGGAATCTCCCTTCAGGGGGGGGCATCCCAAGAGGGTGAGGTGCAAGAGAACTCCGACCTTCAATGGGCTAAAGCTTCTGCTTACATTCAAAAAGGCAAGGGACTCCACGCTTGAGGGTGCATATCCTGACAAACCCTATTGACCCTGAAGTTTAGGGTTTAGGGTTTAGGGTTTAGGGTTTAGGGTTTAGGGTTTAGGGTGTAGGGTGTAGGGTGTGGGGTTTAGGGTTTAGGGTTTAGGGTTTAGGGTTCAACCCTAAACCTTTGACCTACTCTTGCAGAAATCTGAGCCCACGGCCAGGGTGCCTCCGCGTTGCCATGGGCCGGTAGGCTGGATTGGAACCTTCACAGCTTAGCCCGTGTGCTTTTTTGGGGACAGGCGTGGGGTCACTCGTGTTTTGGGTCGCAGGTTGTGCGGATCCCGTCTTTCTGGCCTTACTCTTATATGTATATATATATATATGTATATGTATATATATATATATATCTCGACCTGAAGCCGAGGCCGAATTAGTGAAGCTGCATTGCTGTAGGTGACGCCGCATTGTGAGGCCGCACTTTTGCGGGGTGACGCCGAATTGCCGCCTCTCGCTGAGTTACGGCGTGAAGCCGGATTTACCGCTGACGCCGAGATGCAAGACTTGTGAAGCCGAATTACTCCGTGACGCCGAACTGCGAAGCCCAATTATCAACTGCCACCTGACGCCTAGTTGATTCCTGACGCCGCCCGTGTCGGCACCAACAGGCTTGGGGCAGCGTGGACAAGTTCAGTAAGAGAATCAAAAGAAAAACGCTAATTTTCTCCAGAGTTGGACAGGAAAACCCTATCTTTTCTGCAAATTTGATAGGAAAACCTTGTTTTCTCTGAGTTTCAAGCGAAAACCGATTTCCTCGGTGCAAACCTGGATTTCCTTTTACATGTCCAGACGGAACATCTACTTCGTGTACATATTCCTAGAGTAACCTCCATTTCCTGTATGTACATAAATATGTGTATATATATATATAAGCAACCCTCAAAAGACTAACTTCTCTGTTGGTCAGGAGGAAAACCTCTTCCTCTAGTTTGTCTAGATGTTAGCAGAAACCCTTCTTCCTGTCTGCTGTCTTGACATGTTCATGGATTCCTAGGCGCGTCAATAGGACAACCTCTGTCCAAAGGCCAAAAGAATAAGGCTGAGGAACTACTTTAACCCCTTTCTTGCCGATTTGACCTTGTGTTTTGCAGGGTTGCCAGTGAACACCAAACAAGGAACTAGAGGCTTTTCTATTCACAGAAAGAGGACATAGAGGTGTTCCTGTCAAAAATTAATGCAAATATGAACCTTTTGACGCACCCTTGCTCTGCCTCGGGTCTTGAACTCGGGCCTTCTAAGGTGCCGACACCCTAAACCCACCGTTGGGGGCAAAAGCTCTTCCTGACCGTTTCCACGTGAGGCTTGAGATCCATGAGAACCATCAGAAACAAGGGGCTGAGGAGTTCTTCGAGTACAAAACCCTTTTGCAACGGGCTTTCTGTCTCCGCCCGGCTGTTGGAGCCCCTAACCCTAAATCTTTTTGAAGCACGGACTGAGGAGGCTGCCCGGCAACAGGGCCTTCTTGCCATTAGCAAGGGTTGCATCAACAGGCAACCCTGAACCCTCAACCCGAAACCCTAAACCCTAAACCCTCAGCCGGACATGTGGGGCTCCCACAGCCGAAAGCAGCGGATGTTCCTCGCCCGCGCGACCGCCTGCACAAGGCTCGAGCTTGTATGGTTTAGGGTTGATCCCCTCCCCCCGATATTAAACCCCTCTGGGATTAGGGTTTAGGGTTAAGGGTTTAGGGCTAATCTTCTCCCCTAATACTAAACCCCCCCTACCACCTGATACTAAATACCCCCCATTTTAATATATAGGGTGTATTCAATATTGTGGGGTAGGGGGGGTTTAATACCAGGGGGAGGGGATTACTTTGGGGTTTCATGCTTTCGGGTTGAGGATTTTTAAGGGGGCATAGGCCAAATTCTTTGATGCACAACTGCTGGCCCTTGTGAAGATCACACCTTGGCAACGTGAACACAGGCAATCTTGAAGATCATCGCCCCACCCCTAAACCCTTTTGAACCCAGATTTGAGCGCCACCCCTAAACCCTAAACCCTAAACCCTGAACCCTGAACCCTAAACCCTGAACCCTTTTTGGCCTCCTAGACCCCCACAAAACCACATAGCCGAACCTTAGAACCTCAGGTCTGGGATGCTCCCCCTTTTTACTAACAGTCCCTACTAGAGATTTTACTCGGGAGTACTAGAATCCCTATCAAGGATCTTAGTAAAAGGGGGAACATCAGAACCTCAGGTCCCCCCCCTAAACCCTAAACCCTAAACCCTAAACCCTAAACCCTAAACCCTAAACCCTCAACCCTCAACCCTAAACCCTAAACCCTAAACCCTAAACCCTAAACCCTAAACCCTAACCCTAAACCCTAAACCCTAAACTCCGCAAGGTGCCTGACCGATCCACGCCGCCCCCTTCAGACAGCGCGTGCACACCTCGGGAGCTCCGGACGGGCGCGAGGGAGCTTTGGGGTTGCAGGGCTGATAAGGGTGTGTAGGGATGTTAGGGGTTTTAGGATTTTAGGATTGAGGGTTTAGGGTTTAGGGTTTAGGGTTTGGGGTTTAGGGTTTAGGGTTTAGGGTTTAGGGTTTACCTTCCCTAAACGCCTCCCAAACCCCGAGCGACCCAGAAGATGCTTCCATGAACTTCATCCCAAGGCCTAAACGCTTACATCCAGGCCTCTGAAGTCTGCCGGGTAAGTATGCTGACACACAGGCGCAAGGCACAAACCCAGCACTCGTGGCCCCCTAAAACCCCAAACCCCCCGAGTCCCCCACGGACCACCAGTCAGTGAGCTGGTTTTGGTCAAATGCCAGGCTTGCGTTGCGACTGGGCCTTTGGTTGGAGTGGGACAGGGTTTAGGGTTTAGGGGTTAGGGGTTAGGGGTTAGGGTTTAGGGTTCAAGGTCTAGACGTTCTAGCTTCAACCCTAAACACTCTAAGGGGAATAAAGCAACTTAACAGAAGTTACCCTAGTCAAGGGATTCCGGGCTTCACAAGGGGTTTAGAGAGTTTGGGTGGGGGGGAGGGGGGGGGGGTTGGGGGGCGGCTTAGTTTCCCGAAATTCCAAAAAAAGTGAAAACTGGCCTCAAGAACCTCAAACCTGGGCTTTGCAATCACGAACCCTGCACCCCTGATCCCCCAACCTCTCGGTTGCCCGATTTTTCCGGACTGCTTCTTGACCCTAAAACCCCGAACACTAAACGCCGTTCTTGAGGCCAGCGCCAGCACATTGAACCCCTGAACCCTACAAACCCGAAACCCTACAAACCCTAAACCCCTAAAATCTAAACCCTATATAAGCCAAACCCCGAAACCCTAAACCCCTAAACCCTAAACCCCTAAACCCCTAAACCCCTAAACCCCTAAACCCCTAAACCCCTAAACCCCTAAACCCCTAAACCCCTAAACCCCTAAACCCCTAAACCCCTAAACCCCTAAACCCCTAAACCCCTAAACCGAACCCCATACCCTGAACCCTATAAGCCCCAAACCCTCACTCTGCTCCCACAAACCCTAAACCCTTAAACCAAACCCTTAAACCCTAAACCCTAAACCCTAAACCTTTAAACCCTAAACCCTAGACCCTAAACCCTAAACCCTTAAACCCTTAAACCCTTAAACCCTTAAACCCTTAAACCCTTAAACCCTAAACCCTAAACCCTAACCCTAAACCTCAAACCCTAAACCCCAAAACCTTTTGGGGCACCGTGCTCCATGGGATCCTGGCCCGCGGCGATCGGCAGGCCCTCCACCTGGCAAGTAGGGTTTGGAGGTTTAGGGTTTTTGGGTTTTTGGGGGGCTTGGGGAAGTTTAGGGTTGAGGGTTGAGGGTTAAGGGTTGAGGGTTGAGGGTTGAGGGTTCAGGGCAAAGGGAAGTTTAGGGTCGAGGGCTTAGGGCTTAGGGGTGTCGGGTTGAGGTCGAGGTCGTCGCACTTGGGGTACGCCAGCATGGCATGTGGGTTGAAGCTTTTTGGTACGGCTGGCGGACGCATCGTGGCCCCTCTCTAGATCCGCCCTGAGCCTAAACCTCACATCCCGAGGCTGCGTAGGACCCTGAGTCAAACCGTTTAAACCCTAAACCCTAAACCCTAAACCCGAAACCCTAAACCCTCAAAAACCCAGTGTGTTCTTGTGGTTCCGCATCGGCAAAGGCTGCATGCTTGGGACATCCTGTAAGATGAAGGCCGCACCTCTTGCTGGCAGTCGATGGCTTCATAGAACTGCAGCTCCTACAGCTGAAAGGGTTGAAGGGTTGAAGGGTCAAGTCATTTCCAGACCCGGGACCCACATAACATGTATCTATAGAGCATGATTTACATGCATATTTGTACCTACATTCCTTGCTATAGGGTATGTGATATATAGATTCTCGTACAACTTCCACCAACCCCTCAGCTCTAGCAGGGGCCCCAGGCCCCGCGTCCCTTAGCCCTTCGGTGGGTTGGGGCCTCGGCTTAAAAGATTCCACTTCGCGTGGCAAGTCGACAGCTACTGGCACTTGAGGTGTTCAGGGTTTAGGGGTTTAGGGTTTAGGGTTTAGGGCTTTGGGATAATTTAGGGTTTAGGGTTACTCGCTCACACTCAGGCAAGCCAGGCGAGGTGGGTTTTTTTTCCCACCCGCGTCGCAAGCGTTTACTCTCGCGTGGATTTAGGGCTTGGGGTTTGGGGTTTAGGGGCTCACTTTGCCGCAGCTGCTGACAGCTCCGCGTTGCGGCGCAGGTGCTTGTGGACGTTGATGCCCGAGGCCCGAGGCAATCTCAGGCAGAAGGACCCCAAGGGCTGCAGGGTATCTGTGGGGGCCTCTTTAGCATATTCATGCCAGGCCCAGAACCTTTTTTTGAACCCGTCCGGGCCTGGAACCCTAAACCCTAAGCAAACCCCAACCTTACCCTCATCGCCGGCTGTCGCGAGGATTTTGGGGGCTGTCAATGAGGTTTGAAAGGTAACCCTCAACACGACACGCTACTTCCTTCTCTACGAACCCCTAGACCACCTTAAAACCCCTAAACCCTAAACCCCAAACCCCAAACCCTAAACCCTAAACCTTCCCCCCTGGGCCCCTCAATGCGGCTCGGGAGCGTCAGCTCCCAGATCCGAGGGCAGCAGGCAGCCAGTGCAAAGAGCGGCTGCAGGGGAACCGAGTTCACTAAGACCTGCGCCTCAGGCACTTATAGGGTTTGGGGTTTATGGCGTTTTTTGTTTTTTTGTTGAGAGTTTCGGGTTTAGGGTGTGCAAGGTTTAGGTAGTTCACTAAGACCTGAGCCTCATGGTTTGTAGGTTTAGGGTTTTTGCTTGGGGTTTAGGGTTTAAGGTTTAGGGTTAAGGGATTTTGTTGCCACCCGACTAGCCACAGCACGCAGGGTTTAGGGTTTAGGGTTTAGGGTGTAATGAGGGTTAGGGTTACGGTTCAGGCTTTTCGTGCCACCCTGTCCAGCAGGAATTAGGGTTTACGGTTTCGAGTTCTTTGCCACTAGCCTCACACCGCACTGCAGGAATGCAAACATCCACTGAGGGAGGGTTTAGTGTTTTGTTTGGGGTTTAGGGTGCCCCTCATATACACGGGGCTGTACGCTAACCAAAAAAATGGACTTGGATTTGGAATATGGAATACCCCCAGGGCTAGAGGTTGTGGTAGAGCCAGTCCTCATCGTACTGGATCGCCCGCACGACGGCATTAGCAACCTCAGCCGGCGTTGTCCAGCCTAGGTTTTTCCCTGTCTCCCGGACGGTCGCACCAATGCTGCCTGAAGCAGACGCGGCCATCCCGATGTCCTCTACTAGACCAGGGCTGACACAGTGAAAGGTTACAGGTCTCTTCTCCAAGAGCATCTCAAGCCGAAGGGACAGCGTAAAGCTGGTCAACGCCGCCTTGGTCCCGGCGTAGATGCTGCCATACGGAACACAGCAACTGGCCGCCGTCGAAGAGATGTTGACGACATGCGCCCTCTTCTCCTTCATCATCTCCGGCAAGAAGCACTTTGTGAGGTGCAGGGTGCCCGAGAGGTTCGTCTGGAGCATGGCTTCTATATCCTGGCTGTCGATGGCCTGAAAGAAAGCGTACCTAGGAATGCCCGGCGCAGGAGGCAAGAAACGCCCAAGACCCCTAAACCCTAAACCCTATAAACCCTAAAACCCTAAACTTCCCTAAACCCTAAACCCCAAAGAAAATCACACAAAGGGTACTACTGCAAACACCGGTTTGCTTCAGGACTCCCGCATTGTTCACAAGGACCTGACAAGGGCCGAAGGCAGTGGCCTGTTTCAGGAAATCGCTGCGGCTCTCGCCGTCGGTGACGTCCAGCTGCACCGTAAGCACCTCCACCTGCAAACATCGACATCGAAGGAATCCCTCCCCCCCTCCCCCCCTACCCCCCCCGGGCCACGGAGATTCAAGACGTTGCAGAGGCCCGCCTTCGGAAAGCGCTCCGCAAGGTTTGCCTTGACCTCCTCCAGCTTCTCCACGCGGCGAGCTCCAAGGACCAGCTTCTCCGCGCCCTCGGCGGCGAGCGCGTGCGCGATGAACACGCCGAGGCCGTCGGATGCTCCAGTGACGGCGCAGCAGAGGCCCTTCAGCTCGTGCACACGCCTGGGGAAGAAAGTCACGTACAGCAACACCGCCAGCAGCGCCAGCAGCAGAGATCCGCCTGCAGGTCATGGTCACAACCCCCGAAACTCCGACCTCGAGATCACTGCGCCAGCACAGGCCCTCAACCTCTCCCGCAGCCCCCCAGCCTGTGCAGAGCGCCAGGTGCAGCAGCAGCCACATGGCGAAACTCTCTGCGCTCTCTCTGCCCTTGTTCCGGGACTTTCATGGTGTTGTAGCTTCTCCATTTTCTGGGTCGCCCGTCAACTTCCAAGATCTGGCCGTCGCTGGTTCTCATTTGTTGTCAAAGGAATCCCATTTGGGCCCAGACTACCGGATGCCATAACAAGATGACCTCACCAATAAACCTTTTGCAACCAGGTCACTAAAACCCTTTGCGCAACCCTGAAACCCTAAAGTTCATCTCGAGCAAGGACCCTTCAACCTTACACCATGAACGGTGTCCATGACTGGTGACTCTTGGGTCTTGTCGTCAAAACATGCAACGAAAAGAAACCCAAAAAAGCATGCCCTGAACTCAAAACTCTACAGCCCTAAACCCCCAAACCCTCTAAAGCCTAGACCAGACCTTCCTAGAATCCCCCACAATCCCTCGGAAAGCTCTCCTTCAACGCCCAAGAGTTCAGCATCACATCCAACCTCGGGCTGGATTGGGCCCTTAAGATGAGGACTGGGGGTTTAGGGTGGAGGGCGCGGGGCTTCTGCTGCATGATTTAAGGGCTGCAAGAACAGAAGGTTCGGGTTTAGGGTTGAGGGTTTAGGGCTCAAGGTTTTTGAGTTCGGGGTGCTTGTTCCGCAAAGCCTCAAGCCCGAGAGGGCCTGGCTCACCGCTGGGGCTGGCTTTTTGCCCCTTCCCTTGCTGACCTATCAGTAGACTTGGCACAGCCTTGCATGTATCTTGACGGTTGTAAATTGGGATGTTCCTCCTTGTACTAACAGTCCTGAATCGGGATGATAATAGGGGTACTATAATCCCCCTATTAAGGACTGTTAGTATAAGGGAAGTTGTAAAGCAAGCGTACACCAGGCTTTAAGACCGATTGCAGCAGATCCACGTACTTAGGACCGGAACTTGTAAAGTCCGCCAAACGCAAACCAACAAACCCCGAACTGCAACAACTCCGACAGGCTCAGTACATGGAATCGCGAGAATAGACGAAAACAGTCCTCCTAAACCCTAAACCCTAAACCCTAAATTTAACCATAAGCCCCAAACCCTAAACCCGAAACCCTAAACCCTGAACCCTCTACCCTGAACTAAACCCCCCTGTTGGGACGTCGCAGCCAAGAGCGAACCCCCGAAAGCCAGGCTCGGGCCCCCGGACGCCTGCACCCTCCACTGCAGCCGATCCAGGAAGGGCAACCGGGCCCATGTCTCAGGGAGGTAGCTGAGACCTGTGGGGCTCAAGACGGGTTGAGAGACCCGGTGCCGCCACAAGCCTCGAAAATGCGAATCCAGGTTTAGAGCTGAGTTAGGTTTCCGGGGGTTTAAGCGTTTGATTCGGCCGCCAGCCTAGCCAACACAGCTATCACCTCACATGTCACTCTGCTGGGATTTAAGGTTTTCCGGGTTTTGGGGTTCAGGGGTTTAGAGTTTAGGGGCTTCTTCCAACATATTGGGATAGGGACGTGGCGCTGTGATGGCGCTGAAGGTGCCAAGCTTCAGTCAAAGTCTGTTGAACCCCGAACTCTGAAAGGGAGCGGGGAGGAGGGGAGGTTCCCACAGGTTTTCTCAGTCAACCCAAGGATGCTACAAAAATGATGGAGGCCATAAGTAAGGTGTTTGCCCGACATCTGCTTACCTAGAAAAAGTTGCGCATCCTGCCGTAGGAATGACACCTCTTGGTCCCACTTTAAACAGCCGAGCCGAAAGTAAACACGCCGGCCGGAGCATGAACTCCCGACACGAGAGTCCAATGTTGGCCGCCAAAAGTGGCGAACCGACAGCTCTGCGGAAAACCACTTGTCTGGATCCCGCACGCAGGCCAGCCTAGCTGTTGCACCCAAAAAGGGACCATAATGTTAGAACCCATCACACTTCAATTGCGAAGCCAAGGCCTCCCGAACCCCCCTAAACTGGCCCCAGGCCAACCTAACCTCTGAACTGGCCTAAGCCCCTACACCCTACACCCTACACCCTAAACTCTAGGGGTTCTACCTTGGACCCTTAAGGTTGTACCCTTGGGTTTTGGGGCCCCTTTTAAGGATCCTTAGGGGAATATGAGGGCCTGATTCCTAAAGCCCGAAACCTTGCACCCTGAGTGGCCTGTACCCAACTCCAGGAAGTGAGGCGCAATCGTGCCGATGCCGCTCAAGGACACCTTGGCAGTTCTCCGAGTAATTTGCCGGAGACCTAGTCCGGGTTTAGGAGGGGTTTGGGGTTTAGGGTTTAGGAGGGGTTTAGGGTTTAGGGGTTAGGGCTCAGGGCTGAGGCTGTAAGGCTGAAGGCATTGCTTGAGGGTCTGAAACCGATTCCTGGGTCTCCTGAGTCCGTCTCAGAGTGAAACCTAGATCGCACCCCCTGCCGTCCCGAGGATCGTGGGGGCTTGAAGGGTTTGCAACTCTCTGTGGTCTTTTGTTCCTGGCGCTGGCGCTGGGTAGTGTGAGGGCTGCTGGGAGCTTCGCCACGAACTTGGCGGGAGCAACATGAACAGCTCTTAGGCCATCGTGCCGGGAGCTGGGTCCAGTACCACGCGTGCATGTGTAGCGCACTAGTGCTCATGTGTACCACGTGCGCCGTCGAGCTTCAATGATTTCATGATGCCTTGTTTGCTTCGCACTAAGACTTTGCCTTAACAGGGGAAGCTGGAGCGATGGGAGCTTCTTCCAGTCGTGGCCGGGTGAGCTTAGCTGCTGGTGTATTGCTTTGTGCACTGCAACAGCGCACACGCACACTCTCTCTCTCTCTCTCTCTCTCTCTCTCTCTCTCTCTCTCTCTCTCTCTCTCTCTCTCTCTCTCTCTCTGTCTCTCTGTCTCTCTGTCTCTCTGTCTCTCTGTCTCTCTGTCTCTCTGTCTCTCTCTATCTCTCCCTCTCCCTCTCCCTCCCTCTCTCTCTCTCTCTCTCCCTCCCTCCCTCCCTCCCTTCTTTCCAGCACGCGAAGGGAGACCGCCCCAAGTGGCGCACGTTACCGAGTCAGTCTGTGTGTAAAGATGTGAATGGTGGGAGTACGGAAGCAACAGGCGAACAGGGGAACAATGGACTTCTCCCACCTTTCGCTAAGCCTGCGGTAAAAACATGCCTCCCCACGGGATTTTTTTGGTTTTCCCCGGTGGGTCTACAGATATGGTGTGTTGAAGGCCGCCCTGAATTATGACCGCAGCTTAACTGATCGTTATGGGATGGGTTCGGCTTGACCAGCGGCTGGCGACAGCTTTGGCAGTGGGGGATGGTGAGGACGGCAACGGTTTCCTAGTATTGTACTCCCTGCTACAGGATGGCAGCTCGGGAGTACTTAGCGAATCGTGAGAACGCTCCCCTGTCCCAACAACCGCAAGACCCCCACAATCACCTACCCGCACCCGGGACCCACGAGCGGCGGGGAGCAAAGGACACCCACTACAGAATTGGCAGGGGGGGGGGGAAAGTATGGACTCAACGGACTGAAACTTAAGCAAATTTACTCCGTATTTTTGTTCCCTCTCAGTGCTGCTTCTGGTCGCTCCACTGTCATCGTGATCTTCTAGCTGCTGTATGTCTTTCTCCCGCATTGTACGTGTGGTGACCGCTGCGTGTGAGCCCTGTGCCTCGGCAAGGATTGGTGGGCTCGAGGAGAAGCACTCGACGATGACGGAGTGTTGTGTCCGGCTCTCCCTGCTCTTTCTCCCCTTGGAGGTGTCTGGTCTTTCTGGCGTTACTGATTTCTTTTCCTTGGGGGCCTTGATGTTCTGGATGAAGTTGCAGGGCCATACCAAAACCATGCGGCCCACGGTCTCGCTGCTGTCGGAGATGTTGTTGCACCCCCGGCAGGTACTGTGGCTGATACCTCCGTGAATCGCTAAACGACCTCTTGCTGTGTAGTCCCAGCAGGTGGCCTACGGTTTAGGGTTTCTCCCCAGTAACTCGTAGCAAACCCCCGTTGAGAACGATGCACAAGGACAGGGAGGACCAAATTAAACGGGGCCGGCTCGTGTGACTTGAAAGAAGCGGCGCCCCGGACTTGAGCCAAAATAGCTACTCTCTCTCTCTCTCTCTCTCTCTCTCTCTCTTTCTCTTTCACTACTTTCACTACTCTCACTACTCTCACTACTCTCAGAACTCTCATTACTCACCCTCCCTCTCCCTCTCGCTCTCCCTCTCCCTCTCCCTCTCCCTCTCCCTCTCCCTCTCCCTCTCCCTCTCCCTCTCCCTCTCCCCTTCTCACGCTCACGCTCACCCTAGAACCTCAAACCCTAACCCGGAAACGTGCACCCTCTTGAAGAGCTGATATTCAAAGCCCACAAGTGTGCAAGCATCAGTGAACTGGCAGGCCTAAGGTTTGGGAGGCCCTAAACTCTAAACCTTAAACCCAGTGTGTTGGTGACCTCAGATTCAAACCCGAGAAGGAAACAGATGACGACAATTGGCCCATGGTGGCACCTGGTAGTCCAACCAACTCGAACCGCTCCAGCGTTGAAGGACAACATCGTTTGCAAAGCGGCTGCTCTCGTTTGCCTGGAGGACTTCAAGTCATCATCATCCTTCTTTCCCTCTCTCTCCCAATTAAGTGAAGCCGGCATCAGGCAGGAACAACATGAGGATGGCAGAACCATTGGCTTCCAGCTGACACGATCCCATCTCGAGGCTTAAACGCTTAGGACCCAAGCTCCTCCGCAAGCGCGACCTCTCCTCTCAAACATGTCAAAAGGTTTCTGGGAATTTGGGGTTAGAGCTACACGTCAAGCTTGAATCTAAACCTTGTGCAGGAAACCCTTTGAATCCATCGAACCTCGCTAAGCCTGGACCCCCCTGATCCCTTTGCAACAGGCCTGCGGGCAATTCGGAAACCCCAAACCCAAGACTTCCACAAACGTCACAAACCTTTTTCCCGAAACCCTAAACCTTAAACCCTAAACCCTAAACCTTAAACCCTAAACCCTAACAGCCTGGAGCAGGCGAAGGCAGAGAGGCAGGACGCCATCCGCCGTGCTGAGCCCCAGCCACGGCCACCCAAGCCTCTCAGGG